AAAAAAAAAAAAAAAAAGAAATGGGATGGAGAGAAGTGAACATATGGAAACTATAATATACAGTTATCTTCAACGCGTAAATCTTCGCTATTATTATTTACGTGCCTGGTGATAGCGATAAGAAATTTCATGCCTCATCAAACAATGAGTATCGTTGTAACGCTACCGAGTTGATGTACGATTTGGATTAACGTTTTTAAAAAAAGTATACACGGTGGAGATAACAGAGATCGAATGTGTTAATGGACTTTGCATAACAAGTCCATCCAGATCATTTACAATCGTCTAAACGAATTACGTCTACGATGGATTCAATTTGTATTAGATATTTGTAAAATTTAATGAAGAGATCGCTTTGATAAAATCTTGAGAGAAAAATAAAGATATTATTCAAGTTCCTCTTTTGATCGAAGAATATTATCGATACTTTGGTGAGAATGCAAAGATGGAACAGATTAAAGAAAACGATAAAGATGATAGATGATAATATGATATTAAAAAAAAATTAAAAGAAATTAAAAATATTATTTATTAAGAAAGTTATAAGGAAATAAATAATCGATGCTTACCCGAATCCTTGGAATTCCGGACCCATGTACGAGAGAAGATCTTTCTGAAAGTCTGGCTTGATGACCACGCCATCTACGCTGGGCCCAAACGCGCTCAAAAATGTCGGCGGTTGGATATTGACTTTCATCAATTCCTCCAAACTTCGATCCCGAAGACAATCGACGATCAGTTCGTTGTTCTTGAACAAATCATTCGGAATCGTGCAATTGACCGCCTTGGCCAGTTTTAAGGCGTAAGAAACAGGATCCTCGACCACTGCCCACGACGAGAGGGCGCTGCCTGATAATAGAATAGCCCTCTTGAACAGACCTAATTGCAAAAAGAATTTGACGTGTGTGAATTTAATAATGAAAAACTCTGAGGAATTTTTTATAAGAGAAAAAAGTATAGTGTTAAAGAGTCTAGTTTAATGTCTATTTAAACTAATATTTAATATTAATCTTCAAGCCTATATATTCCAAGAAAGATGTTGATATAAACATGCAAGAATATTTTGTTTTAGTTTTATTTTTAAATGGAAATGGGATACGTGTTTCTTCCTCTCTCTCTATTTGTCTTTTGTTTTTTATATCTTTGCGAAGGGAAATATCGAAAATAAAAGAAATATCGGTTTTCTTTGTTGATCGTAGACATGCATTAAACGAGTATATTCTAACTATAGCTATAGAAAGTAGAGTTCCAGGAAATTCTCAAGAAGAAACTTATTTCTGATTTTTCTTTCGCCAACAGAACCAATGATGCTTTTCCATGGCGTCTACTCTTTGAAAATCTATCCTTTTAGAGGAAAAGAAATCAATTTGTAATAATATAGCCGTCACATTCTTTGATCTCGGTTAGTTCAAATAGAAAACATACGAAAGCTTCTATTCAATAGAGATTCGAAGAAAACAACTATTTATCGAACCCTTTAAATTCGATCATTGTGTTCGAATTTAGAAATAAGAAGGTCAAAATGGAGGAAACTCGATCTAAATAAAGATACTTCGAGATACTTTAAAAGAAATTAGACCATGTTTGAAATTTTTTTCACCAGTTCTAATTTCATCGTAATTTCTGCTGCATAGTATGTCGATAAGCCTGCTTCAATAATTCTTCTACACGACCAACTCTTTCGAAGAATCGAACTTGGGTGATTAATATCAAAGTACTTCACGTCGAGGAGGAAAACTACGAAAACTTTCCAAACTAATTAATTTGTTGTATCGAATAACTAAAGTTGCAACAAGTTCTCTACGAGCTTCATATATTTCCAAGCATGTACAACTTTATCGACACACTTTTTGCAAAAAGGTTCAATCTATTAATTAATAATTCGAGTATAATTTTATTATTATTCGCCCTCGACCTCGTTTCGAGCGAACAAGAAAAAAAAAATATATTCACGATACGAGTTCAAAGAGATCGCCATCGATCGTTCGTTCCAATCGAAACAAAGTGGCAAGAAGCGGAATCGAAGCCGAGTTGAAGAATTTCAAAAGGTAGAAATCGCGCGCGCAGCCATCGATCGCAAGAAACAAAGCTGTTTTCGTTAAGTCTCCTCAATTAATACGTCTTCCGGTGCCTCATCTCGCGACCGACCATTTATCAAGACAGATTTATACCAGCAATTTCGAGCGGCCTCCGTTTCGAGGGAAGCCTCGTCTGTGTACGTACGGCCAATATCGAAGCTTCGGGATCGACGAGGCTAAGCGAGAAATTCCAGCGTGACTGGGAACGCTCTTTGGAAAAGGAACGGGGGCGCAGAGGGAACGAACGAAGGAAAGAAACATGGAGCGTGGATCGTGTACGTTCCGCGGCCTCATAAAGGCGGAAAGTATTTTCTAATAGCGTATCGCGATACCCATTGGGATAGAAGAACGATATTTCACGCGCGTACCATGCCGAGAATTCTTCTTTCTCGTTTCTCTGCCTATTACAGTTTATCCTTTGTAACACAATTTCTCGTTTAGTCTTCCAAGTCCAACCAAAAAGAAATCGTCTATATCTTTCGGATTTCTTTTAACCCCCTTTTAAATATCTCCCACCCTAAAAAGTTTCTTTTGTAGTTTTAAAAAGTTTTGAGGATAATTCCTTCTCTTTCACGGAATTCTACGTTCTTCTCTCATCTTC